CCAAGGTTAAAAATCCGATGCGTGACAAGTCCCGTAGGATGGTTGAAGTGAAAACCAAAAAGATCAAAGGATAATTGTTTCTTCTGTCTCAGTGTCTACGGATGTAACTATACTGTTGCCTAACAATACTTTGAAATGGAAATTGAATGTATACATATGAAGTAATATGGGCAGCAGTTGCGGTTCACATAATCCGTGCGAAACTAACTAGTGAAAGTAACAAAACGCTATCTTGTGCAAATTCCCTGCGTCGACAGGCCACCTAAATCCAGTGTCCACAGTAGCAGCGTTTAATAAATGATGTGCAGGAAGTGAAAATGAGCACTTTGATTGGTAGTGTTTGGTTGACAGCCCGGACGTAGTGGGTTATATGGCCTAATGTAATTGTATGAATGCATCATCGAGACGTTTTAAATACCGTTAGTGTGTAGGAAGAAACAACGTAAGTGGGGATGACTTTCGACAAATACAAAGTGAAAAGAAATCCCGGAGGCATTCCGACCGGCTATACTGTGTGATCAGCTTTAGCTTCTGACCTCTCAGGATGGTATTGAGATTCAGCTTCAGAAGGGGACTACAAGCATGGTTGGGATTCCTTAGAAACAAATATATCATTATCAAATCGCCACGTAGGCGTGAACATTGTCCACTGTAGATGCCAAGGGTTTCAATTGCAGTTGGTAAAGGAGATAAAACAGACACTCTACATCCTTGTTTGCTCTTCGTTGTGACAGTTCAAGTGCGTCACGTTCGTGCTTTTGCCAGTGCTACCAGGGGTGAATGGCGTATTCCGAATGGGGACCTAGTGTAGGTATTGAGCATGTGAGAAACTACTGCAAGGTCAGAGCGCCCGTAGGCCTTCCGCAAAAGGTCGCGGTGTTGGTTAACCTTTTTGATGCCTTTTCGGCTTGACGTGAACAGTCATAATCCCCACGTACTATCGACTTTAAGTCCAATTTACTAGAACCAAGCTACAAAGCCTGATCCACAAGTATATAATTGCAAGTAAATTGATGACGTGTGCCCAATATCTTAAGCTTGGTGGCCTTGAAATGAAACAGCTTACGAGTCGCCCAATCGTATATCTTATCGAGGTCATCCCGAGATGCTACGTGGTCAACATTTGTTTTGATGGTCCGCCAAAGCTTGAGATCATCAACGAAGGGTAAGAAATTGTAACCGATCACTCTCGCGAGACCGTTTAGATAAACCAGGAATACTTGAAAGTTGTTTGTGAGTAGCGTAAGATTCGTAGAAAGTAGAAGTCACGATGAAACTCTACACAATAATCTGCCTCGACGGGGAATCGAACCCCGGTCCCACGAATTTCCGGTCTGCTGCTCTACCACTGAGCTACCGAGGGCTGACGATTATGTGCGCAATTTAATACATGACTTCTGCTTTGTGCGCGACGTATTGCCAATGAGCTCACAGTACCTGTCCTGTCATGTATTAAAATTTGCGCACCTAATCGTCAGCCATCGGTAGCTCAGTGGTAGAGCGGCAGACCGGAAATTCGTGGGACCGGGGTTCGATTCCCCGTCGAGGCAGATTATTGTGTAGAGTTTCATCGTGACTTCTACTTTCTACAAAACAAGGAATAGGCATAAAAAAGCGCTGAGCCGGTGACACTCTGCACTGAACATCGAGAAGATCGGGGGTGTCGCTGCGATATCATTGAATCAGGAATTTACCTATCCAACCGAGAATTGGGTCACCAACTCCGCAACTCTGAAGCTTGTGACTGAGGATGCTGTTTGTTCAGAAGGTCAAATAGTGTTGAGAAGTCCACATAAACGGCCTCAACTCCCACACCGCTGTCGACGAGTATCGTTCAACTGCAGCGAGCAGGTAGCAGGTTTGAGGTTCAAGAACTATTCTAGCGGAATCCATGCTGTTCTTGTGCTATGCTGTTGCATCCTTCCAAGTAAATTATGAATGCTTCGGCAATAACAGGCTCCATGACTTTGTACATCACCTGAGGGAATGTTATCGGGCGATATTTGGTCGGATCTGCTCGATTTCCCCCTTGTGAATAGGAGTGATGATTCCGCGCTTCCACACAGTTGGAACACCCATCTCTTCGAGACGTCGTTGGAAGAACGCAAAAGCAGTGCAGCTAAATTTAGCGCCTCTGGTTGGATATTACTGACATCAGGAGAAGTATTTTCGCGTGGAAAATTTAGCCTTTTCAGAATATGTTGCCGCAAACGAGATATGGCTGAGTCCTGGTCGTGGTATAACACGTGAACAGCATGGGCGACGAAGTCTCTTCTGTGAGTATGGGGAGAATTGATGGCGTAAGGCGTTGGCCGCTTCTGTTGTAATTTATGCTTGACCACTTCGCGTGCGGAAGGCAGGAATTCCTCGTAGCACTTTATGGAGTTTTTTAACATGTCTGTAAAGAAGCTTGGGGTTTGAGGAGAATTTGTTGGCTAGATTTTGCCGATGCTTAACTTATCCTCGCGCACCAGATTCACACAATGATTTCGGTGGATAGTGTAGGCTTCCCATGAGTTGGCACGTGGTGATGCTTTGAATTTTCGCCAGAGTGAATCTCTTGTAACCATACGGTTTCGCGCCCTGCTGCGACTGAATGCCTTTTCTTCCTTCGCGTGCGAGGACCTGTTCCACGAAACACTGGTCACCAGCTGGTTGAATTGATGAACAAAATCCCACCAGGCGACATCGGGAGATAGTTCAGCTAAAAATGACCGGTTGGTTGCATTAATGATTGTGTTCAGAACGCCGTACTCCTTAATGAGCTGTGGGTTGTCTGCTTTTTCTGTGGAATAGTCTGTATAACAGATGTAGTTGAATAAGTGTTACATGATGGCTGCAACCCAAAAGACTACCTTTGGATACCGTTTAGATGATAAATTCCTTGCTGATGAACAAGAGATCGAGGCTACTTGGTGCGTTCCCGTCCTGGATCATGTGGGGAGTTAAAATGATTGTACAGTGATAATCTAGTGCTTGGCTTTTGCAATTCCATTTTGAAGTTCTTGTCGCGCCAAACTGAAGTTTCTAAGACGTGAAGATTGAGATCCCCAACCAGAAGAATGTGACTGTGTAACAGTGCGAGGACAGTTTTAATGGTGAAGACTAGTCGATTGTCCATTTTTGAAGTGGAAGACGGAGGGCGGTACATGTCTTAGGTGAAAACGGCTCCAAAGCGAGTCGAGAACCTGGACATCCAGGGTCGTAGGCGAGATCAAGAGTTAGTTCATTGCGGTCATAGAGTAGTACACCACCTACTCTATTCGGCCGATCGTTGCACAGAATGGACATCCGGGGTTGTATGATTTTGACGTCAGTGAACACTTCTCGCAAACATGTTTCAGTTACTTTGCTGAGGTCCAACGACGTCCAAGCATGACGTAGCCGAAACTCTATCAGTTTGTTAAAAAGGCTTTTCGCGTTAGTTTAAAAACAAGAGAGTGTATTTTGTTAAAAATTGGTGTAAGATGTAGACAGCAGATTTGAGACTTGGCCGACCCTCGTGAGGTCGGCTGTTACTGGTTTTTTTGTGGATCGACCGGCTCTCGCGATGGAGTTGGGATACATTTCCGTACCACATATTTCAGGTCAAGATGATCCTGGTCATCAATCAGTCCGTGCGATATTCCACCGCATGTTTTGACGGCTACTAGCTTAGTCTCTGCAAGTGTTTTCGCAGAGTTTCAACTCCGTTGAGCAATCAATAGTCCGTGGTCTTGTCCATGTTGCCTTCCATCTAGTTTCTGCTTTTAACGTGTTCCCGAACTTAGCCCAGTTCTCCATGAAGTTCGGTACCGTTAGCTCAGATGGTAACACCAACTTCAGCAACCTAGGACCACATGCTTGGTAATTGGGGGTCACGGGAATTTTTGTCAGCGACGTGGTAACGACATCAAGTGGGAGTGTTTCACATAGTTATCCCCAGTGCCCCAGTCATGTGCTTGTGCTTCGGCTGAAGAAGGAGTCTGAGACTCGGGGACAACGTGAACAAGGACGGTTTATACTCGTGTTTTTATCATCTCAGCCGTTCATATCTTTTGAACGTTCCTTTCGCGGGATATTTGGTAGCGTGCGCACTCCGTTTGGTGCACTGTGATGTCGATGCACAGACAACGGAATGGCCTTGGTCTCATTCATGGGATTTAATATTATTCAAAGTAATCGTGGTTCACCGTAGTGCAGTGCGTTTTGGTGATGCGCGATATGCATCTGTGTAGTGCGCTTAGTAAGGACATCGATGGCATTACAGATGGAGTTCCATTAACTACGATCGTCTATCAAGTTGCGTCTTATTCTATTGGATCTGGAATCGTGAACGTAAGTGCACACAAGACTTAAAGCACCATGGTTGTGCCTGCTTGTTATCAGCTTAGGAGCACTAAGTCCTGTTACTTTCTTTATATTTGTGGTACACTAGTTGTAACAAATCATGCTGTGACACGTCAGTTTTACCAAGTCCGGTAATTGGAGTCACAGCTGTTTTTTTGGTGTTTCCTGGCAGCGACAGACGCATATGACGACCACTTATCCTTTACTGTTGACTGGTTAACAGGAATAAGGAGCCTACTAAGTAAGTAGTTTCATCTATGAATAAGTCACCGTTCAAGACAACTTGCGGTCAGATAAACTAGGAATAGTCATGAAAACATTAGGGATGGGTTGCATTAGTGATTACCATAAGAAAAGCATATTACTGGATCTCGTTACGCCGGAAATGCACTTCAATAAGATTCAACCTATTTTGTACAATTGAGATTGATCGCTACATTGACTAATCCTTCTGGGAGTGAATCCCTTAGCTGTACCGAAGCTTTAAGGAAAATGCATCCAAGCCAAGTGCTTCATGGATCATCGTTACCTAGTGTAGTTTACAACCACTCATCAGAAAATGCTGGGTGTTTTTTGCTTCGGGTTTCGCTTGAGACCTGCTGAATTCATTCGAACATGCGTCTTAGTAATTATTAGTATCCAATGGCTTCTTTTCGCTTCGATGTCTGTAGCTCACGCGCAAAAATCTGATGGTGAAAAACCTCAAGCGATTCAAAAGGAAATACGAAAAAGCTTTTGGCAAATTAGAGGCACAAAAGTAAGCCATCATTAGTTTTGGTGATTGCGTAAATCTGTCGCTGTTAAGAATAGAATTCATCCCCACTACTTTTGAACTTCCGGTAACTCACAATTTCTAGTCAAACGATGCTTGGCAGGTGGAGTATCACATGTTTATAGAGGAATTTCGTAAATCTCCTGGATCAATATGGATTATGAAACCAATTGCCAAGTCTCAAGGGAAAGGAATATTTTTATTTCGAAAGCTAAAGGACATAGAGGCATGGAAGCGAGTTGGCATGGTGAGTATTATAAGTGAACTCAGCTTTCAACAAAAACACATACAGTTTGAGCAAGCCTGTGGAGATGTACTCACTCGAGAGTTTCCGGAGACATACGTAGTTTCCAGGTACATTGACAATCCTTATCTATTGTGCGGTCGAAAATTCGACCTCAGAGTGTATGTTCTAGTTACTTCGGTAAGTTCCTCTGAAAAGCGTTTTGCTCAATTATAAACACAGTTCAACCCGATGAAGGTGTGGGTCTACCGCGATGGTTTCGCCCGTTTGTCAAATACTCGCTTCTCCCTGGAAAGCATTGATGATCAGTGTATCCTTTTGTTCTTGCACCTACAATGAGTTTACCTATTTGTATGAAATTATAGATGAGCTCGCTGCAAGTAGCGTCTTCGTTGCATTAAAATTCGTAAGGCATTGGGTAAACCACACAAAAGTTAAGCTAAGGCAAATGTTTATTGAACGGGAGAAGAGCTAGCTAATGCTACAAATAAGTCATTAGGAGAGAGCAAGCTAGGGAGGATGTAGTTGAGTGCTGAGTACGTGGACGGAGCGTCGTTCGCAGTGGAGACGCGCGCGCCAAAGGCGGATTTGGTGTTAGTGTTTCAAACAAACAAGAACAACGTTACAACCGACAAACCTCCTAATTCCCTAATACATAAGAGAGCTAAAATTTTAAGATATTTTATAATAGTTTACGCAGTTATACGGGGGAATCTTCAGGTTACTACATTTTAAGCCGTTATATATATATATATATATATATATATATATATATATATATATATATATATATATGGTATAGGTAGAATTTCGTCACATCCGGGCTCACTCAGACAGCCGCCACAAGCCCGGAAAAGCACTGTACGCGCGTTTCATCCTTTCGGGAATCATCAGCAGTGCGCATTCCATCGGCCCCC